AAAGAATTCACGCATTTGAATGTATGTGTGCACACGCATAGGAAAAATGCGTGCGCGTGGCGCTGCTGACATGTGCTTTTGCAAATTGGCCAAACGTTTTGTTTAATAACTTCTGTTTTACTTAATGGATTTTAATGAAATTTTCAGCATATGATCTACATATCCTATTGGCTTGGTTGAGATGCAAACGCCTTCACATAATGGCCCTAGTTCCAACTTAACTTAAATTCTAAGAATTTGGGGGAATTTGGAGCCGGTATCCAAAATCCAACAAAAATCAAAATTGCATAAAATATACATAAGACTAAATACAAAATTTGGAGGCTCTAGCTCTTAAGACGTTCGAGATATAATTTATTTACTGCATTTCAATAATGTTTTTATTCGATAACAATTAAATGCGAATAGTTATCGAATATTTGAAATAAACTTGACCTGCGCGTGCTATACACGGACCTACAAAAAAAATTTCAAGTCTCTAGCTCTTATAGATGCTGAGATCCACGCGTTCACACATACGGACAGACGGACAGACGGACAGACGGACAGACGGACAGACGGACAGACAGACAGACGGACAGGGCTCAATCGACTCGGCTTGTCGTCCTGATCAAGAATATATATACTTTATGGGGTCTGCCACGCCTCCTTCTGCCTGTTACATACATTTGCACAAAACCATTATACCCTGATTTCCCATTTTTAATGGGATCAGGGTATAAAAAACAAATATATTTCCAAAAAAATATAATAATAATAATAAAATTTGCAGATCAAACATATTTTTAACAAGTTTTTATTTTAAATATGTTTTATAAATGTAGCAATAAAACAAATACATTAAGTGGAACTTTTAATTAAAAAATATACTTACAAAAATTGATAAGCTGCTTATCAATTGGGAAGCATTGCTCATGTGCGATTCAGTTTAGTTTGAATCGAAGTTGCCAAATGTTGGCTGGGCCAAGAGCTTTCGCTTCACTGTTGGCTTTTCGCTGGCATTGCACTTTGTCAACACTTTTGGCCACTTGAACATGGTAATTGTTGGGCTGGTGGCACATATGGGGATGTAGCTCAGATGGTAGAGCGCTCGCTTAGCATGTGAGAGGTACGGGGATCGATGCCCCGCATCTCCAAGATGTATATACGAAATCCGGGAGTGGGTTTCTTTTTTTTTTTTCTACCACCAATAGACTTACAAATACGCAGACGTCTGCATTTCTTGACGGGCAAGAAAAAGCTGGCGCATTAATGAATATTCAAAGGCCGCTTTGTAACTGCCAAACGACTTTGGTATTAGATGCCGCACAGACTGACTGCATGCACTGTGCGGCGCCCCCATGTCGACAATCAGGTCGCGTAATTTGATTTGCCGCCCATCCCAAGAAGGCAGCACAACACATTGTCGCACATAAATCAGGCACAATATGTCAATGTTTGTTTACTCGCCTGCATTCGCAGAACTTTGCCAGCAATTAAACAGGCAGCCAAAGCCAGCAACATGGTCCCAGGACGAACAGTAGCAGGGGGCAGCTCTTCACTGAGTTACTGCCACAGCCACAGCCGCAGGCAGCGTTCAGCGCACAGCACACAACACACAGGAAGCAAAGGGAACTCGTGGGTCCAATGCAAGGTTTGGGTCTTGTAAATGATACATGATGTGCTATTTATGAGAAGCCTTTGTTTTAATTTTTGCACCGCACAGGACAAACTTTCCTCCCTGACTACTGCTAAGCTAGTTAAGCTGTTGCTGTTCTCTGTTTCGAAATTTATGTGTTTTGCTATTTTTTAATTGTTTTAAGTGTTTTGTTGTGCTGCGACTCTGCCATGTTTTATTTTAGTTTGCTTTTCAATAGTGGCAAAAAAAATATAAAATAAAATAAATTGAGGGAGTGCAGCAAAAAAGTTAGTTGAATATCCTTGGAGATGCGGGGCATCGATCCCCGTACCTCTCACATGCTAAGCGAGCGCTCTACCATCTGAGCTACATCCCCATGTTGGTTTACAGTATATAACGGCTTTATAACTATTGCAGTTTTGGTACCCGCCTTCAGCGACAATTAATGTTGATTCAATTGAAATTCAAGCGGTGTAATTGGCCTAGATTCGCTTATAAGCTTGGCCTGAACTGGTTTTCGGCTGAAAAGCCGCTACCTGAATTACAAGTGCAGCTTGGCCGTAGCTGGGTGTGGCCATTTGAACTGTTCAATGCTCTTTGATTTCTTGATTCAATTGAAAAGATATTGTTACAGAGCGAGCCGAGATAAGTAGATCAGTTCAGCTTGGCAACCGGATATTTGTATGTACAGTGAAATCTGCTATGGGTAAACAGCTTAAAGCTGCACAATAACTGCCCGACCAAGAGAAATGTTTGATTATAAGAGTTGATAAGCTAGTAGGGTATATTTGCATATTATTTCAACAGTAGTTCGATAATTGGCAAATATTAAGTATACGCAGAGTTCAACGATATTTTTAAAGTAAAATTAATAAGCTTTCCCATATCATTTATCAAAATGACATTCACTTGCTCTCACTTCTTTACTTTATTTAAGTTCATCTTTATTTTTAAATTGTCTTCTTTCACTTTTAAATTGTCATACTTTGATCGAAAATTGTTCTAAAAAAATTTAAAAAAAATATTTAATATTGAAAAAAGTGTGCAACGGCTGAAATTTTTCCTTAATGAAACTGTTTCGTCTTAAATATTTTGGATGCGAAGATACTTTCTTTAGTTGAAATACTTTTTACCTTTGCTCAGAGGCGTTTTCCATTTCAATATTGTTTTAAAAAAACACAATTAAATGTGAATTGTGCTTGAGCAATGCTTATTTATTATAAGTTTATCGTCCTCGCGCCTCAACGTATGAGTATCTGGTACACATTATGTGTTTTGGGCTTTAATTAAAACCAAACAAAACAGGCAAACGCCTGTCAACGAGAAGCCGTTGAGAAAAGTTGAAAATTACCTCAAGCTGTTGCACATCAAGACTGAGACTGAAGCGACTCGAGCGATAAAGCGACAATACAGTAGCCCCCTTCAACACAATGTGTGCCCCACAATCAACCCACTAATTGCTGTTGTCTGCTCTGTGTGTTGCTGTTGTTTTATCAGTGAAACATTGTGAAAACATGTGGGAAGCGTGTCCCCGCTTAAAAAGACATTACGAGCAGAACGCGTAAGCAGCAACAATTAGTTTGTCTCACATATACGGCAGAGCCTGACAGAGGTGGGTGGGTGAGTGGTTGTGCCTTGCAAAAGAGTTAAACGTTTTCATATTTATGAGCATCGTAAAACTCAATGATATACAAAATTAATGACAGCGGCGTCACGAGTGGCACTTCTCCAACTTACTTTTGCTTACTCTCTGGCACCCATGCGAATCGTAAAAGGAATGTTACCTCAAAACTTTTGTCACCGTTTGCGCCGCCTTGCGCGCCCCTTCACCTGCCACTGAGACGACTCATCCAAGCGTCTTGTAATTTTAATTTCAAGACAGTCTGCGACTTTTAGTTGCTGTCCTGAAAATATTTGCACAAAACTCCAAAGCCAAAAGCCTCTCCTTCCGCTCTTCTTTAGCTCTAGCGTCACGTACTTTTCGCTGTTTTGACTTTTTTACTTTTTATTTTTAATTGACTTGCCTTCGCCTGGAATGTTCCGCTCAAGCTTCATTGGTTGTTCTTTTTAGTTGGGGTTTTTTCTTGATTTGACAAATACTTAGGTAGGTGCCCTTTCAGATCTATCCTCGTGCTCATTAGGGAGCACTTGTCACATACGCCCTGTGACATTTGACTCTGCCATCCGGGCGAGGAGCGTGTTTTGACTTTATTTTCCAGACACTTGGGCCGAATGGCATCCTTTTTCACTCATCACTGCATAAATTTTCTTAAGTTTTTTCTTTCCGCTACGCGTTATGCATATTAATTTCCGATTTTTGTGGCCCAAAATATCTGAATGAATATTTTTCCTTTTTATTTGTATTTTTACTGCCAAGGTGGCACTCAGAGTGTTGACTGCGGTTCCAAATGAAAGAGCTTGTAAAATAAAAATATTTAGTTTTTATTTTTTTGTTTCACTTCATATATTGACTTACAAATTAAATCTAAAGAAAATAAATCATGAGCTTCTTGAACTAGAAGGCCAAAAAATTTAATAATTTTAAAAAATATTTAAACTCCGTTTTCTAAAACTTGAACTATTTGTTTATTTATTTTGAATAATATATTTAAATATTAAAACCAGTTTTCTATACCTTTTAATACTTATTTTTTATTTATTATATTATTTATTAACAACAAAACCTTTTCTAAAATTTTAAATAATATTTATATAGTATCTAATATTTTATTTATTTTAAATAATATATTAAGATATAATGAAACACTTTCTTAAAATAATGTTAAGTATTTAAATCCAAGCTGATTCCAGTTCCCACCTGGCCATTCCCATGCTTCACTCAATCTACTGTCGGAGAAGCTAAGCAGATATCCTATTGCATTAAAATTCGCATTGTGACATTTTAAATTTTTAATTAGTTCAAGTTACAAATTACATTAACAGCAAAGCAACAGCTTCACAAGATTTGTGGTCGTATATTTTAGCATTTCTTAACGAGATTTTCGAGCGAACTCAAAACAAAAGCGGACATGCCGCAATGTAGAGGAAGAAGACGAATCAGAGAAAAGAAAATGCTGTACGCCAAAGGAATTCGCACCTTTGCATACACAAATAGGAGGCTCCGCCCCGGACAGCTAGGGGCGTGTGGTTATAAATTTTAAATCTGTTAAATTAATGGCTCAGAGTTCTTTCATTCTTACGTGCCTCGAAGTTGACTAAAAACTTCACAGAAACCGAGCCACGTTGCTTGATTACATTAATTATTCCTTTATTGTTTGCAGAACTTTTTTTCATTTGTATGTTTTCTGTAGTTTATGCATTAACCAGCTCTAATTGTAGTTGAGAACCTCAGTAATAATTTCGCATTTTGTATTACTTGCAGGAACCACACGTATAATAATAATAACAATTTCAATAAAAATAATGTAAGTATTAATAAATAGCTAATGCTCAGACTTCAACTCCTATAAACTCTTTGCACAGTGGAAGAACTACGGACCGAATCAATATTATTCGCAAAATAGTTCACGTGATTCATATCGAAATTATACACAGGACAACACGAGCTGGAATCAAACATCAAATTATAGAGTAGACAACAAAAAGTGGACTAAATCGTCGAGTCAGCCATTTGATAGACGAGATTATCGAAGGGACTCATCATACCGGGAAAGAACCGACTATTATAGAAGCTCCAGTACGAGTAGATCTGATGCTTTTGTGGGGGACAGTGCATATAGAAAAAGGGAGCATCCAAATAACTCATATCGTAATGGCACTTCAGGTAGAACAAGGCCCAGCAAAGAGCCACAAAGTAGAGTAAGCGAAACACAGAACAAAGTCAGTGAAGCACAAGAACTCAGCTCAACGAGTCTAGATAATGCAAATAAGGCTGACAATACGATTATAAACTCTGAAGAAAATGCTGTAGAAAAGCCAATTGAGAGTGCTAAAGAACTAACTAGAGAACAGTCTGAAGTAAGAGGCCCAAGGTCAAAATCGGTCGATAACACGGAGCAAACCAAAACCCCATCGAAAGTGCAATCTGAAAACAGGGCTAAAGGAATTATAATTACATCACAATCAAAATCTACAGGAAACAGCAGAGCAGAATCAAAAGGCAAGGAAGAAATTACTAAAGATAAAATCGAAGAGAAGGAGGCAAACGCAGCTCCTAAAAAAATAACTAATACAACTAGCAGCTATTCTAAATTGAGATCGCTGAGAAATAGTATACCGAGTCCCTTGAGGCGCAACAATGCGGCTAAGAATCCCACGAGTCTAACCAAATCGATAGGAAACAAATTAAATATTACAGAGACGAGTCAAAAGGAGGCGCAGTCTGAGGGTGTACGACCTGAGCAGCTAGAAGAAGGCAAAGCAGATAGAACCGCGAATAAGACATATCCTAAGATACAAGTGCGACCACTGGCTGAGCTGCTCAAGCAGGAAATATTCGCGGTCACTCAGGAGCAGCTACTGGCTGCCGACAAAGGGGCGTTCAGTGGTAACGCCGCCAAGCCTGGCCAACGGCCAACGATACAAAGGCGTCGTCAGACTATCAGCAACAACAGTTACAATGGCAACGGTGACTATAGCATCAATGACCGTCTGGCCAATATGGACAAGGAGGGCCTGAAGAACATAATCAACAATAGTGATACGATATATAACGAGCATCTGAAGCTGCAAGCGCGGCGGCGTTTGCGCGAGGAGATACGACGGCAGCTAAAGGAAATTGAATTGGATCAACCAAAGGATAAGCCAGCCAAGGAGCTGGTCGAAGACGAAATCGTTGAGGCCATCAAGCTGCCACAATTTCTGCTGCAGGAGATAGAAAAGTGTTTCGGAATAGACATATCAGTGGCTAAAGAGATAGAGACTAACGCGGTTAAAGCCGAACAGGTTGGTAAGGAGAGCGAAATCACTAGTAAGGAGACAGCTCCAACTCAGGAGGAGATCACAGACCTAACGGACAACATGGCCATGGGAAACTCCACGGACTTAATGGAACGCCTAAAAGTGGCCGAGCAGTTCAGGATGATGACAACCAAAAACAATAGAAATAGAAATAGCGAAAAGGCTAAAAGTCCAAGTTTGCTGAGCAGAACAGCTAAAACTCCAGATAGTATACAAAAATCCAATGCGCAAAGAAAAAGAACGGAGAGCTTGGACCCTAAGCAAGGCCAAACACAAGCGCAGAAAGCGTTATCAGCAGTGGAGGCAATTAAAAGGGAAATTCAAACGGAATCTAGGAGCTTGCAGGAAAACTGCAACGTTATTGTTGTGGTCAGCTCGTCCGAGGATGAGGATGAAGATGTTGCTGCTGAGCAGCGGTCGCAGCAAAAGAATAAACAGCCCACTGTAGCTGACTTAAGTGACGGTGACAGCGATCACTCGAACTCGTCCAGCTGCAGCAGGGACTCCACCAAGCGTCGCTATCAACAGAAACTGGAGAGCGATGCCAACAACATTGTGGACAGCTTTGATAAACTAATATTGCCGCAGCTGAAGGAATCGTTGGTGGAACGCTATCGCAGCAGCCACTGTGCCAACCTGCAGAGTCGGCTGCACTTCATCTCCTGCGTGGTGACCAGCAGCGAGCACAATCCTCGGAGCTTCAGCAAAATCGAAGTAGCCAAGATACAGCAGAATCTGAAGTCGAACGACTATCGCCAGGCCATTGAGTTCCTGTTGCGTGAAATCGTGAATGTTGTCAACCTGCAGAAGCAGACAGCAACGGCGCGTCGCAGACAACATTTGGAGAAGGAGCAGCAGATGCCTAATGAGCTTATCAGCACTTCATCCGCTTCGGATATGAAGGTATCGAAAAATGCTGAGCCCGCGTCTGAATCACATCAAAGTGATGCTGCTGAGCCGGCAGCCGCAACAACAGCGCAGGCTCTAATGCCGCCCACACCGCCACGGAATGGCACGCCCACGCCCGCAACACGTCCGCTGCTCGCATTGCCCATGGGCCTGCCCTATGTGGGCCTGGACTCGACTGTGTCGCGTCTATCGCCCGGCAGCTTCTCGCCCAGCGAGCCGATCATGATGATGGGCGATTCGGTGACGCACAGCCTCCTTGAGATCGATCGTCGTCTGCTGGAGAATCAAAATCGTCGTGGCTTTCTCGAGGAGATGATTATGAAGTTTCAACGTGAGAAATCTGATTTGGAGATGCTCAGCCTGGAGCTGCAGAGTCGCAAGTTTCTGCTGCTCAATACGGTAATTGCCAGGAATCAAGCGACGACATTGGCGCCTCTAACAACCGTCACACCCACGAACTCGCCACCATTAACGATGCCAACTGCCAACACAGCACCAGCAACAGTTGGCACAGCTTCAGCAACTCCTTTAAATCCCGAAGTCAGCAATCGTAAGCGTAAACGTCGTGCTGTCGTCGTCAAACGGGTCAAGATCTTGCCTAAACGCAGGCGTCCGGCCAAAAGATCTGCAGAGCCTGCGCCGAGTCATGCAGCTGATGAAGACGTTGCCCCAAAAGGGACATCGCCAGCTCCCAGCATTCCCCAGCCTATCATCGCTCCGGAGTTGCACATCAAGGAAGAGCAAATAGAGACGCCAGCGCCGTCTCGCGAATCAGGCGAACTTCAGGACAAACGCGCCGAAAACTCAACTGCAATTGGTAACAGCAGCAAACGCCAGCATTTAACCAGATCTGTGGCTGCCAACATGGCACAGCAAACGATGGCGATTATACCACCGCTGCCACCACCACCGCCGCCGCCGGAGCCAATTGCCAACATGACCTATGATCTGCCGCGCGTGCTGCTAAAACCGGCTCCGCCACTGCTGCCATCTACCGAGACTCACATGGCTGCGAATTTGGAGAACTATAACTATGCCTTTATACCAATCGGACGACTGCATAATATCAGCAGCCCCATCACCCAGATTCGCATCTATAAGGTGCACATCATTGCCGCCTCGGAGAATGGCGATGTCTTCATGTTCAACATTGGCAACCACAAGCTGGAGCGTCAAATAACCAAGCACAGCGAGGCCATTACGAACATGTATCTGTGTGAGCGGGAATCCTTTTTATACACCACGTCTCTGGACGGCTTCCTCAAGAAATCCTCTCTCGAGGTGAGTTATCGAAACGTAAAGCTGAGAAGCGAAAATCGATTTGTATAGCTCGCCTATTCTCTAACAGAATCTGGAGCGGGTAATGCAGACAATATACCTGAAGGAGCCCCTGCAATCAATTGACATCGAATGGGGCATTGCGTTCATTGGCAGCCGCTGGGGCAATATTTTCACATATAATATAGCGGTAAGTTTAAGAGACTGAAGATACTAAAAATACCTAAATACAATTGTTTTTGGATCGGGTAATGAATTTAGTCAAGGGTTTGTATTCGAAATATGGGCATATGCAAAGTGCAGCATATTTTCTAGTCGGATATTCTCGACTAGAGCACTTTTACCATACTGTGTGATCAATATATATATGACTTAAGCAAAGTGTTGATGCCCGGAAAATGGGAATATGCTAGATTCAGCATATCTTCTTCGGGCAGTTCCGACTAAGGATCTCTTGCTATGCTGTGTGATTAAAATATATAAAATAGCTTACAAAAATGTATTTATTTGAAGTCAGTCAGTCAGATTATCTTCTGCCTAAAAGCAAAAATAGTAAATACATAATTTTTATTTAAAATTGATCGTATAATTCGTGAACCACTTCAGACAATATTATTAAATTGCATACCTCAAGGCGTAACAATCAGATGCAATCAGATCTGTTTCAATCGTATGATTGATATTATTTTAACAAATCTTGCATACACCAAAATATTAACTTTTATATAAACTGCTGTAGCTGAATAGATCTCTTCATACATCAAGAGCTATCTACCTGGAGTCGCATCCAATTAATTTGCAGCTCATTAAATATTTAGCGTGTCGAATCAACACTTGAAAATATTCAATTAAAAAGTGAAGAACGCGGACATGTAAGAGAGTCCAGGCTGACTACGCCGGCCACACACTCTCCCCTGCATATAGAGGTGTGCACACCTCAACGTGGCCCCAACGGCGGGCGCAAGAGTAACAAGGAAAACAACGAATTGGCATTAAGCAGCCATCGAATGAACCCAATGTCTAGACAATGAAAATCAAATCGAATTTATTTTTTCTTTCGCATTTCGCCGGCGATATACGCAAATTGGATGTGGTGCGATGGTGCGATGGCACGGATGATGGTGCAAAGCTGGCACTTCATTACAACTTGGCGCTGGGGGCAAATGGCGATAAGTCTTAATTTTTTGGCAGCTTTCGATTTATAGCTGCGACGTGCGGGTAATACGCGACTGTTGCCTAAAATTATGATTCGGAACTTTTTGCTCAACTTGCACTGCTGAGGCAACTGTACTTGTGCACTGCACGCCTCTAGTTATTTACTAAATATTTTGCTTCACCTAGGCAACAGCCACGCCCCAGTGCAGTTATATTGGACTAGAGACCCAACCCAGTGTTCCAATCCAAGCGTATGTCTCTATGTATGCAAGAAGGCGTTGCTTGTTGCAATTTTGCTTTCCTGCTATTGCTTGATATTTTGCTGTGTTGGTGTTGTGTGTTTTTATTTTGTATGCATGTGTGTGTGAGTGTTTGGTTTTGCTGCACGTTGTTTGGCCAAAAACCTAATACATAGTGGTACATACATATATATGTATATAGCCAAGGCTGGGGGTTAGTTGCAACAAACAACAGCAAACTGCAGCGCAAGCTGCTTGCAGCGAGAACGGGTGCTGCGTTCAAAATTATCCCTCTCTCACTATCGTCTTCTACGTTTTCTCGCTCGCACACGTTCGTTCTCTATTGTTGTTTATTTAAGTTTTTATGTGTGCATGTTTAGTTTACTGTATATTTTGCTGACTCACACTTTCGCACACACTGCAGCGTTCAATGCCCGCTCGTGCGCTCTCTCACACTCTCACTTCTTGCTCGGTGTTCAGCAGCCGGCACGAGGCTGGTCAGCCTTCGTTACTCTTCTCTCACACTGTAATGCGCATGTCTTTTTCCGCTGCACTTTCTTGTTGCTGCACGCGCCGTTAGCTCGGTTAGTTTTGTATTTCTTGCACTCACCCATTCGTTATATTCAACGTCGCAGCAACGACGCGACGTCGGCATTGGCAATGGCATCGGCAATTTGGCAGCAGCAAATAAAATGTTTATATGCTATTTACTGAAAACAATTTTAAATAAAATACAAACTATGTACTCACAATCAGCTCTCACTCACACTCACCCTCACACTTTCTTACATGCCGGCACTCTCTCGTTTTTTCTGCTCTCGCTTTCTCTGTCGTTCGCTTATTGCAGGCAAGGCCTTCCAAGGCGGTGCAGTTGGAATGTCTTCGTCCCTGTGCTGTGTGTTGTTGTTGCTATTGCTGTTGCCGTTACTGTTATTGTTGTTGTGGGTGGGTGGTTGGCTGCCTGCCTTTCTTGCTGGTTGGCTCCTGTTTTGTTGTGTTGTGTCTCTGGAAAATGACGCCGCCTGTCCGTATGTCTATGTGTGTATGTGAATGCGAGAGTGTGGCAACGCCGTTTTCTCATTGGTTGAGTCTGACGAATCGGGTTGGTTGTTTGCAAGCTCCAGCCCAGGCCCAGACGATGTATGTAAGTAACTGTTATTCGTTTGTGTTGTTATTGTTGCTTTGTAGAAACAGCATCCGACGCAGCAGCAAATTGCATACGTCCATGCGGCCAATGTGGGTGTGACAGGCACACTTGCAACCACTAAATAAACAAAGCAACCCAACTGCTGCTACTCGGCGCTTTTGGATGCGCCTCCTGCAATTTAAAAAGCATTTCTGTATTTGTTTGTCTGTTTTGCCTTTTCTTGCACTTTTTAGTTGCGTTGCGAACGTAGGACGCCATCTTGCAAATTACTAACTGTACATAGATACAGGCACATAGAACTGCAGTGCCTCTTTCTCTTTCGCACTCTTTTTAAATATTGTTGATTTTATTGTCCCTCCATATATATTTATATGTATAGGTTTATGTGTGTCTTTGATTTGGGCTTATGCAATCTGTAGTTTGCAGGAGTCTGGAACTTGCCTCGTTTATCATAGTTCCAACTCAAGGAACCTTCCTCTGTTTGCTTTCAATTTTAATTTCTAGCAGCTTCGACCACACAATTCTGTAGCTGTGGCTAGTTTATTTTTGTTAAGTCTAACTTTTAATAATGTTTGTTAAATTTTTTGGCAGAATTCAAATATATTTGATGAATATTAAAATTTTCATAACTACTTAACATTTATTTATAGTTATGTAAATGTTCATCGTAACTATTTACAACATATATATTTAAAATTAAAAGCCAAATTACATTTTTAACAGAATTTCAATTCTGTTTTCATAATTAATACAATAATATAAAAAATATAACGCACACATTTGAACACAAGCTTACCAATGATTTCATTTTTATAATCAACAAGATTTTCATAATGGATCTTACACATCTATCTATATCTTTTATTTACTGATTTGCGGTTTTAATATTATAATCAAGTTGCGTTAAGTCTTTTGTATTGTTAACAATAATTGATCACTTTCACAATAATTTCAAATATAAATAACTGTTTCTTATCATCTTATCTTATCAAGTTAAAGAGAAAAGACAAAGATACGAAAGCGCGTGCAATATGAATGTTTACCCATAACACAATCTACATACATATGTATATATTTGTGTACAAATAAGAAACACCTAGTAAATTAAGAATTAAAGTTCCAATAATCATTTAATTTATGATTTATCAAAACACTTGCAAATAACTTTAGGCACGAGTTTCTCCCAGCTGCTGTATACATATGCATTCATGTCATTATTTATTAAGGTGCTCAAAAAAAGTAACTTAGCACCCCACGAATGGTGGGTACACCAAAAAAAAGCTCCAAAACCGTCGCAATGATTGTCAACTTATATTGTTATAAAGAAGCTTTAGAAAACACGCAAAAGTCTTCATTCTGTGGCTGTGTGCAAAGCAAAATGATAAATCTATTTATAACTCAAGTAAAATCTATTTATTTTTCTGTGCATTCAGAATCTGATATGGCAATTATCTACCCTATGTATAATGACTAGAGCCCATTTACGAAACTAACTAATGTTGCAAATAATTATACAGCAAATATTGACCATGATAAATATAAGAAAATATATTTAAAAAAAGCTATCTAATCTTCAGTTTGTTATAATTAAAGCAACACACCTATCGCAAGAAATAAGTATATATATATATATATATAAATAGTATATATATAATACTATAAATAACTCATAGCTACAAATCTATTTATAAAAGCTTATAAAAAATTATGCGGCGTGCGTATTTAAAAGAGAAATGAAAGCAAAATGTTTACTTTTTTTTTTAGTCCAAACTGAAATTACAATGCAAAGCACATTTTTGGTGAACGAATTCAGTTTGTTGGCAATACAATTGTCATAGTGTTTGTTTGACAATAAGTGCTAAGGAGGAACAACGGGGATGTAGCTCAGATGGTAGAGCGCTCGCTTAGCATGTGAGAGGTACGGGGATCGATGCCCCGCATCTCCAGAGGGAATTTTTTCTTTTTATAAAAACAATTTTATTTTTTATTTTATTAAAATTTTTTTGAATGATTCCTTATTTTCCCTTTGCAGGCCAACAAAGTGATGGACATGCCGCTGTTATCAACTGGTCAGTCCATCATCGCCGTTAAGGCCGCCAAAGAAGGCGTTCGCAAAATAATTCTATTGGGCTGCAAAGGAAACATTGTGTTTCTGCACGATGCAGCAACTGGTTTGCTTTTGCGTCGGCTTAGCATGCCTGAGGGCCTCAATGTTTACAGTTTACTTCTGATCGATGGCCATGTCTTTTGTGGCACTCAAAAGAATGAGGTGTACAAGTTCGACTTTGCCGTGAGTAATATCTGAAGGCCAAAACTTTTTGTTGATTCATTTTTTACATTTCTAATTTCCAGACTGGCGCGATGACCAACGCGCTTAAGTGCGGCAATGGGGCCGTTGCCATGGCTTCATATGGAGACAGGTATTTGCTTATTGGCTGCTACGACGGCTTCATCTATGTGCTGAACAAAGAAACTGGCTTGCAATTGGGTCGCTTCAAGGGCCCTGGACGTTTGGTTCTTGCTTTGGCCATCGCCGGCGATAAGGTACGGGTTACTGTGTATTCATAGATAAAAAATGGTGAAATTGATTTGAATTTTTGCTTGCACCCAGGTGGTCACCTCGTCAAAGGACAACTCCTTGGAAATTCTTGGAATACCGTCAGAACTGTTGAATTTGAATCAATCGACTTCAGATTAAGGGATCAGCAATTTAAATATAATTTGTATTTAAAAAATTGTTAGTTCTTACAATACTTTAAATAATTTCTGTAAAGATAATTTTTTTGTATTTACACTTGAAAAATGTTTAAGGTAAAGCTCTGTGTTATTGTGTTTTAGCGATCATATTGAGTGAAGAATATTTCTTCGTCGCTTAAAAAATAACTAAATAGAAATCAAAGTCATAATAATAAAGTAAAATATATATGTTTGTATATACGATGCGGGTAGAAAGGAATACGTATTGCTCGTCATGCTCCATTGGGTTTTAAGGAATTTGTGGCACACGCACTGGATGCACATTCGTTTGCATTTGGTGCAGTTTCTGGTTGAGCTTGTGGGTATGATCCCGCAAGTAGGCAATAAGATCGGCTTGCTTCTCAAGTAGGTCTGCTGTATCACCACCGGGCTGCATGAGTCCCAGTGAGCCGCCGGCACGATCAGCGCCACGCAAGACATCTGGCGACAGTTTAGCTTTGTTAAATTTACGCACCTTATCTGCAGGACGAATTGAACGCATAACTAAAATGTATACTAACATAACTTAAAGCCTTACGAACCAATATAGCAGCCATGGGTGAAAGCGAGGACCAAATTCTCCGCCACATTGAAAGTAGTTACATAGCTTATGGGCGAAAGCCAGCCGGCAGCGCAATGCGTATAAAACTGATCGCCATAATAGTGATGGATCAGCGCCTGAACAGCCAACAGCATGGAGTTCCATAAAGAAACTATTTGCAGTGGAATTCCTTTTTGCATGTTCGTATCCCGATGAAAGTCATGATAACCATTCATGCGCAAGTCGTCATGCTGCTTCTTAACAATGTGATCGAAAATCTGTAATAAATGAGAGAAGTGGTTAAAACCCATTCATTTATTATAGAAGACTTTGTACTTACAAATGTGATCACCCAGAATGTAGCGCGTAAGTAAAGCATTATAAAATAGGCCTCGCAACGGCGCTCCTCGGGAAAGAGCGCCGCGAGGCCAATGCCCACAAACGAAATGATTGTCGAGATAAGTAAATGTATGCTGGCAATAGCAAAACCACATAACATGAAGAAAATTCATTAGTATATGTTAATTGAGTTGCGCTGCTGATATCAGCAAACGCATCACCCCTTTCAGTATGATTCATAGTTATGCCGGCGTCGTACATAGTACATACCTGAATGCGGGCACAGTTTTCAGCTTAAATGAACCATTGTTGTCCGAAAACAGTACTGGATCGAGCAGTTCATCTGTGTCCTGATTGTAGCCGTGCTGTCCACTGGTCTGTATAGCTGCGCCTGTTGCTTCTGTATCCATCTTTTGTTGTTTACTGTGCGTTTAAATAATGTCAACTGCGCAGCACCTAACGCAAATTTGCTTTGTTTGTTGTTTGTTGTCGGTGCATCACAGAATGACATTTGCGTGGCGTTGCCAGACAATTCCAAGAGCGTTTTCTTTGATATTAAGCTACGCATCGATATGTAAATATCGAATTGGATTTTCACATAAGGATAAAATGAGGAATATTTATTTTGTATATTTATTTTAATCGGCTCAATAAACATTTTCAACATTATCAATGATTCGAATTTTAATTTAATTTTTCATTTAATACAAATATTAATAAATTTCACATACATGTTACAACTTGTCGTTTCTGTTGTTAGTATATCGATATACACAATTACATCTCTGAAAAATATAAAACAATGCGAGGGATTTGTTGTTGCACAAATTCAAATTGAATTGTGACTTATTTGTTTAACAAAATAGCAAACAAAAGCAACTACTGGTTACAAATGACTACACCTGCACCACGCCATGTTAGAGATTTGCTAGCATTTGGTACGGATTCGGAAGATGAATCCGACGCGAGACAAGCGAATACACGAAAAGAAGAATTGTAAGTTGTTTTCATAAACAGATCAATTGTGTTGCTAACTTCCATATATTGTAGCGATAATGGCAACAAGGAGAATCAAGATCAGCCCAAAGCGGCGCGCCATCAAATGGCCAAGGATATCAGACCAGCACCTGCCGCTAAGGTCTTGTTGTAAGTATGCTTCCCTGTTTAAGGGTAAAGTCATTGTTTTAATTTGAGGGAATTGCCGATTACAGCCCCAGACGTCGTGCAGAGTTAACAATGATGGACTCTGACAGTGATGATGAAGACAATAAGAACGATCACAATTTGAACTGTGCCATTCTCAACGACTCCTTTGTGCTAAGTCCTATGCACGAGCTAACCAGTAACACAAGCATGACTTCTAAAGCGGTTGCTCTGCGGGCCAGTGATTCGAATTTGTCCTTCCTTGGTCGGTTCGGCAACATGGGCATCAATTGTAGCACCAGCACTACCACGGGCAAATCGCCACCTTTGCAAGTGGAACAGCAACAACAACCTGCTGAGCTGCCAATCAAAAAACCACCACCCTCAACATTGCAAATAATTTCGGAACAACGCAAGGCTGTGTCTACCAAAACGCCGTTGCGTACTTCGCTGGCACCGTCTTTAAAAAAACAACCTAAGCCTGAATCGGAATTTGTAACGCCCCAGGTTTGCAGCCTTGCCACAAGGCAGAGTACACGCACCCAGAAGACCCACAATGAGTTGGCCAATGAGTTTCGCTCGCAGAAAGTACTCTTCCAAACGCCTATGACAGTCAGTCGCGCTGCGCCCTTTACAAGCGACAGTCTTAGCTTCTCACTATGCGACACCATCAGCGAAAGTCCAGATACGCCTGCTCAACCACAGCCAAAAGTAGAAGCGCCTATCGGCAATAAATCGAAAAAGTCCCTGGATTGTCAATTTCGTCATGCTGAGCAGGAGAAACCAGAATTGGCTTTGCCCGTGCCAGCGGCCGTCTCCGTACCTGTGCCGGCTGCTACGCTGCCTGACAAACCAGAAACAACAACAAAATCGAATGCGCTGCAAATCAAGAACCATGAGTACCTCATGGTTAAAAAACTGGGCTGTGGCGGCTCAAGTTCTGTTTATTTGGCACGACGCAAGGATACTGGGCAGGAATTTGCATTGAAAGTGGTCGACCTACAGGCCGATCCGGTAGTGGTACAGGGCTATCTCAATGAAACCAAGCTGCTCGAAAAGCTTCAAGGCAATGTATGCGTTGTGTCGCTCTATGACTAGTAAGTTATTATGTTTAGTATTTATAATTATTTAGATTAATAACTCTATCCAAGTTAACTTTATATAAATTAAAATCCATTGCTCGATCGATCATCGATCATTGTATTCCACTCAGTCAACTATTGCGGCAAGAATCCAAACTCTATATGGTAATGGAGAAAGGTGACTGTGATCTGAACAAGATCCTGCAAGGATTTACAACAAACCTACCGCTTTACAATCTGATGAACATACTCTATCAAATGCTGCAGGCAGTCAACTATATACACCAGAATGGAGTGATTCACTCCGATTTGAAGCCTGCCAACTTTCTGATGGTCAATGGTCGACTGAAGTTAATAGACTTCGGCATTGCCAGCAACATAGCCGTGGACTCGACGAGCATAATTAAATTTTCACAGGCTGGCACATTCAATTACATCAGCCCGGAAGCACTTACGGACATTTCCACCGGATCAAGTCCAATGCGCGGCAGCAATCAACCCAAGATAAAAATTTCAACGAAATCGGATGTTTGGTCGCTAGGCTGCATTTTGTATTTGCTGCTCTATCAGAAGACGCCATTTGGTCATATCAGGAACATCAATGCAAAGATGAACGCGATTGCCAATCCTGGCACAAGCATCGAGTATCCGGCCCTGCCAATTTATTATCCGCTGATGCTGGTGCATGTGAGTAGTTAGACAAGCTAAAATGTTAATTATTTATCGAACTAAGCCATTTTGTATTCCACGCAGATGGTCAAAAATTGCCTACAACTGAATCCGAAGAAGCGGCCCTCGTGTGTGGAGCTGCTTAAGTATCCATTCCATATGGTAATCCCATTACAGAATCTACAATTGGAATCCAAGCGCTGAATTTTACAACACATTAGTATTAGAATCTTCATTTAGTAATAAGTTCCATTGGCTTTTCCACCCACTTCACAAGAATGAAACACAAAAATATAATGCACTGAATTTTTATGTGTGTGTGTATTTAATTCTCATTTAGCATAAATTATACATCTTTAATTGTTATAATGCAGCGCCCATACCTGTTAATAGATACGCCAGCGTTCAGTGTTAATTGATAACAACGCTGAATTTGCGACCTGTTTTAGTGTTTGTTTAACTTTTGTTTTCAATTTGTTGTTTTCCTAATTTAACTTTATCGTAATGCAACAAGTATTGACATTAATTGCTAATTTGCTTTCCTTTACCTCTTTTAACCTTCGCACAACAATTTGTTTGAGTTTGTGTTCATTTATAATTTTCGTTTACTTATACACTTAATTTATGTTGTTGTTTTTAATCATTTATTATATGTATATAAAAATAGTTTTTTGTTGGGTTTTTCTTTTGCTTTGAGTTTTTTTTGTTTTTATATATTTTTATGTTTATTTATCATATGCTTAATTAAATGTTGCTGTTGTGGGCTTAACCATTTGCTCTATTAACATATTTACTGCTGCGGCTACATTGAATACTTTGCGCTGTTTACAAAATTAAACGAACAAAAGATACTAAATAAAACAGTTGCACATACAATTTTTCTAACGGAACATAGTATACTCTAAAAGGAATTTCTTGTTTGACATTTACAATTGTTTGATGTCTGTTTTTAATCGTTTATTTTTGTATGATTTTATTAAGTAGTTGTAATTCAAATGGGATTTAAATTCAGTTGCTTAACACATAATGAAACATATACAAAAATGTTAGCGCGCACTCTTTAGTGGTTTATAAATGCAGGTAAACACAAATAATATAGCATAATATAACATAATATAATATATATGCATATATATATATATATATATATATATATATATATATATATATATATATATATATATATGTGTGTGTGTGTAAATATATATATAAATAATCAAAATTACAAACAATTGTATGTATGTATGGGTGTATGCATGCAAGTGCAACAGCAGCAATTTGTAAGCGTAGGCGTGGCTTCAATTGCACGCTGCACGCCTGCCTAATCAGCAAGTCCTAATTACAGACAGACAGCTAACAGGCTGATATATATATATATATATATCATCAAATTGAATAATTCACTTCTTCACTTCACATTTAGATGTTCAACATTGCACGAGTTTTGTTTGCTTCTATAATTTATGTATATATATAAACATATAAACATAAGTCTTTAAAGCATTTCTTAATTTCTTCATTTTTGCTACTTTAAAATGTTAAATGTTGCTGTTGGGCTCGTTTAATATTTACTTTCCATTTTTGTTCCACCTATTTTGTAGTTTTTTTTTGTTTTATGTTTCAAATATTTGTAATATTAACTTTAAACTTAATAGATTGTTAGAATTGTTGCTGTTGTGGTTTTTGGGAAGTTCGACAAACGTTGTGATTGCTGTCAATTATCGTTGTGGTTCTGCTGTTTATTATCAAGGGCGGCGATCCGACACGACGACATTAAATGTCCTGAAATAATCATAGATTAATTTATAACTGCACGTCAATATAATTCACACATTTGCTCACCTGTTCACCGTTTGAGGCATGTTGCTGCAACTTCGATATGAGCTGCTCCTTTTGGCTGACAATGCCGCGCCAGTGCTCATCCTGCTCGCGGGCACGCTGCTCTAAGTCCACCAAAGTGTTGCTCTACATAATATTATATTATTAATTTGTCACTTGTCGTTACTTAATGATATTGCCCAGCTTACCGTTTTGGTGACCAGCTGCGTAAGCTCATCGTTTCGCTTGCGCAGCTTCAGGTTCTGTGTGTGCAGTTCTTGCTGCTCCGCAGCACTAGCGGAGAATTTACTACTCGAATTACTATTATTGCTATTAATATTGTTGTGGCTGCTATTGTGATCGCTGCTAATGCTGCTATCGCTGTTGCTTGATTGCGTGGACTTATTACTACTGTTTGTTGCTGCTGCTGCCGCTGCTGCTAACTGTTGCTGCTTAATGTGTGTGGCGAGCACCTGCTGCAGCCACTCCTCAAAAGAGGAATTGAGTGCGCTGGCAGCATGTGCCTTAACAGCAGCTGGATACAAGCGCTGGTACAGATCTCGTATACGCTGCTGCTCCGCCTTGGCTGAGTTGGTAGATGCACGGCTCAAGTCCTCGCCATTGGCAGCGGCTGCCATTTGCTGCTGTTGCAGTTGCTGCTGCAGCTGTTTGTGTTGTTGCTGTAAATTAAAAATGATATTTACATTAAAGTTTGCAAATTGGCTAGAATCACCTTTAAAAGTTAGTTAAGGAAAAGGTTTGTAACTTCTAATTAATTATTTTATTTACAACTCAAACTTTGAAGACTTGATTGTGTTACACTTTACAAACCATACAAAAACGTGTTAACAAACGAATAGAATCAAATTATAATAATGCTGGAGTGCATGCACTTACGCCTACGTTTTGCGCTGTATTTGTTTTCGTCTTAGCTGTTGTTGTGGATCGGGCGGTTGCTTCGGCATTTTGCAACGCTTCAATCAACTTCCAATTTTTCATACGAATGTCCTGACGAAACACAAATACGTGGCAATTAGTAACAAAGCGGGAAGAAAGGATTAACAACCACAAAAGGTAAGAACAGAGAACAAAAAGTTGGTTTAGTAAATGTTAATGTTAACTGAATAAATTAGTTTAAGTATACAATAAATACATTTTGTAAATACAAAATAAATTATAGTAAGAACTGTGCACATTTTTAGACAGTAAAATTGATAAGCCCATTTCATTTATATCATTTTATACACACATATTTTAAGTCTTTAGCTATTGCAGATATATATAAACATATATATATTTTTCATATATTAGTACTCACATTATTTTTCTCGCGCTGCTCCTGCAGTTCCTGCTCCAGCTGTCGCTCCCTATCCTGAAGCTTCTCGGCGCGCTGTTGCACCTCTTCGAGCTGGGACCGTAGAACAGCCGTCTGTTGCTGTTGCGTGGCTTGGGTATCGTTCAGAGTGCGCAACTCTGACTGTAAGTTAGTTAGCGCCTCGGCCTGCACCTGAGCCTGCTCTGACTGGTGAGCGGAAGCCTGCACAGCCTGTACTGCCTGGTTGTTTGCTTGGTTGAGCTGCTGGTTGAGGCTTACATTGCTGGCCTCTAGTGTGGCCGCCTGTTGGCGCAGCTCCGGCAGTTCTGTGTTGCAGACGCGTGTTAGCTCGCCCTGCGATTGCACAAGATCGGCCTTGGCTGACTCAAGAGCATTGTTCAGAGTGCGCAGCTCCTCCTTGATTTCGGCATTCTCAGTTTCTAGCTGCCTGCGCTGCTCCAGCTCAAAGACGCTGTTGTTGAGGCGAGCCTCCAGCTCGTCCCGCTGTTGCTCTAGCGTAAGGAGTTGCTGAGCCTGCTGCTGTATGACTTCATTCTTCTGCTGTACCTCGGCATTCACAAAGCTGCTCATGTCTGCAATGACCTTCTCCTTTTGTGCAAGCTCCTGCTGCAGGCGTTGTAGCTGCAGTAACAGATCCTGTGAGCTGGCCTGCTTTTCGAGCAACAGCTTCGCCTGAAATTGTTGGCGCTCCAGTGCGAATTTCTCATTGACACTGGCAAGCTCTTGGTTAAGGGCCGCCAACTCCTGATCTTTGCTTAATAGCTTCACAGTGTATGCCTGGCTACGACTTTGTATTTGGGCGCGCTCGGTATTAATCTCTTGACGAAGTTCACGTAACTTGGCTTGGATGCCGATCGAAGCCTCGAGCTCCTCGGCCAGCTGCTTCTCCTTCTCGTCCAGTTGACGCTTCAGTTTCTGGCATATATCATCCGACCAATCGCCATGGTTGGCAGGCATATCCTGCTGCCTGTTGAGCAGATACTCAATAAGCATCTGTATCTCGGAACGATTCAACTCGGCGCGGGAAAATACATTCATCAAGGCTGAGACCCCAATAGTCTGGTTCTCGGCGAGTTTGTCAAGTGCTTGCACAAGGTCCTTGACGCTCAGAGACGTCTCCTTTTGCTTCTTGCCCGCATGCTGTTGCTGTTTGTTATTCTTGCTATTCACATTATTGTGTTGCAGTTTGGGTGAGCCTGTTGGCTGTTGTTTGAGTATAATTTGTTTGGGTACATGGGGAACCTCCACGGGCTGTTCCATGGCGGCGCTAAGCAGGGCTACTGCGGCTATGGGCTTCTCCTTTTTGGCAGCGTTTCCGTTTTTCTTTTGTGCCTGTTGCTTGGTGCTGTTGTTGTTATCCTCCTTGCGTTCCTTTTGCTCCTGCTTTTTCAGCTCAACCACGTCCTTTGGGGCACGAACCTCAAAGTTATTCAGAGTGGGCGTTTCCTCAGCTGTTGCTTGCCTGACGGCCACGGCTTCGTTCTTGTTCACAAGAATGCCCACAGCAGCTTTGGGTCCTGAGCCATTGCGCTTATCCTTCTTGCCTTTCTTGCTGTTATTGTTATTGATATTGTTGGATTGGTTTTCCTTTTCGGCACTGCTGGGCCGGCGCTGCTGCTCGCTTAGGACCTCTGGATCTGGGTCGAATTCCACATGCTGCTTGGACAATCCGGGCTGTGTCGATTCCTCTTCCATACCAACTGATCCCTGGCCCTCTGAATGACCGTCGGAGAAGTCATCTTGCTCCTCTTGATCATTGTTGCTGGCATTGTCCTTTTGCTGTTCACGCTGGCGCTGCTTCTTTTCGCGCTTCAGCTCCTTCTTTTTGGGCTTGCGCTGGGAGGAGGCATTGCCGCCGCTTTTGTTCTGGGCATACAAATTGGCGCTCATTGCGCGTTTCTCCGCCACAACCTCCTCAAAGGTCTTGCGCCTGAAGATCTTGTTGATGAACAAAAAGGACAGCAGCGAGGCGCCGATCACACAGCCAATGACGATCAGTATGTGAAAATCCATATTTGCATACTTTGCCGGCAGCAGTTGATATTTGTGCGAAGAGCGCAGTTCTTATTCTTTTGTGAATTGCTGTAAACATAAATATAAATTGATTTAAAACAAGCTCTTAAAAAACACCGATCAAAAGAATGTTTAACTGATACATGTATTGGCCTAAGTAGAGGGTATTTGCTCACCTATCTCTTTGTTATCTTTCTATTTATAATTATCTACACTAATTTTTTGAAAAAGGAGCAACCGTAATTTAAATATTTATTATACTATTATTTAATAATGATAATGACTGTGAATCGACCGAATATTGTTAATAGAATAATGCAAAAAAAATGTAATTAACTTTAAATATAAAATTGGATATATTATACAAAGCACAAAGACATCTAATATATACAGGATATAGTAAACTTTTGAGACGACGAATATTTATTTAAGCGATTCACGCGGTCTTTCTATTGATAGTCTACTGTACTTATTTTTTTTTCTATTTAACATTTTAACATAGTTTTAGTATGACTTCGGATATGATTCAGAAACACGTATACGGGTTTTTCGTGTCGGCTCAATAGATCTACGGTGACTACAAATTATTAAATTTTGTAGGTGATTAAATTGTTGGAATTTTTTGCCCATATAACATTTGGGAGCTTTTTGTGGGATTACCGATGACGTGTAGCTTTACAATTAGTGAACCGCCGACTGAAGCTGTTTGAAATGTTCCACACTAAACAAAACGAAAGATCAACGACTCAACAATCAAAACCAATTATAATTGTTTCTGCGTATGTGTTGGTGCCAGTGCCAGGCGGCTATGAACACGGTTCATGCTTATCAGTTTGCCGGCCGGTGAATGATACTAAAGTATACAAGTGTTATCGTCATCGTTGGCGGACGTGTTGTAAATATAAATTGACTTGTTTATATCGTCTTTGTTGTTTATTAGGCTTTCGTTTCGTAATTGAGATAGCAGATGCACTTTACACTGTATAAATGTCTGTACATATGTATATACATGCAGCAATAATCCGTGTTAGGATCGATAGCATGCATCGATAAGCACTTGCCTCTTTTGTCTATCGATTGTCTGAACTTACAACATTTCGCGTAGGAAAGCGAACAAGCTTATAGCAACTTGTTTTCATCTTGTTTAAGCAAAGCTAAAAATGTATTTCTTTGGACGAAGTTAAGCGGATGCGAACAGTAAAAGCTGCCCACAATATATAACCAAAGAAAGACTTGCAAATGTGACAGGAAATTCACACACATACACATACATACACGTAAAACTTTGCTCTTTGACGCACACGTATGCAAAATATTGAAAAGCACTTACTATGTGGGATCGTCGACGCTTCTTTTTTTTTCAAAACGCGCTTGAATGCCTCTTGTACTGAGCGCTAAATGGACACAACACGAATGACCAAAGAGCCAGCTAACAGCAACGGCAACACTGAAGCCGATGCCAAAGCTTAGCTCAACGCTCTCTGGTTCTCTTTCTCTATCTCTCGCTCTTTCGCTCACACGTACCGCTATAGCATACAGTTAGAACTTGAAATATTAAGTGTGCTCCGTAAGCTCTGATTGCTTTTGTTGCTGCCCGTTCTTCTTCTTAACCGTGCTGGCGAATTCACAAATTGCAAATTCAATTCAAGGTTGTTGCTCTCTCCCTCTCTCTCGCTCTTTCTCACTCAGCAAGCAACTGCCTCGAAACAACGTCATGTTTTTGCCGCACTCAGGCCTGCTTGGCTATTAACTGAAGAATTTCAGCAGATTCAACTTGTACATTGTACTGCTGCACTGTATGTTGCTTTTGTTGTTTATTGAAGTACATATATATTTATTTGGGGATTTACAGAGTGTACACTTATTTACTTTCTCTCTTTCTATCTCTTTTTTATTGTGTTTATCACTGGTTGTGTCAATATGGTCGATTTGCGCACTATACATTCCAGTTAATTTTGATGACGACGCTGTTGCGACTGACAGTGTGATCTGATTGCGATTCGTCACTGGTAACGCAAACGTAACTGTAGCAGGAACCGATAGTTACTCTGACGTCGACTTTGCTCTAATGTCTAATGATAGCTCGGAATTAAAAATTTAACAGCTCTGCGCTAAATGTGTGCCAGTCAGAACGATTTTACTGGGTTCAGCTACACTTCAACGATGCTAACAAAGGCGGCATTTCTTCGAACAGCGAGCGGCCATAAAGAAGAAACTACAAATAAAAGCCGGTAAAGGTCATCAACCGGAAGAGCGCCGCTACGGAATGTGCTCAAATATATACCCACATATACACATACAGACATACATACACGCATAAGTTCGGTTGTATGTATGAAAGTCAAAACTGGCTGCGGCTACGGTATGCTGGCACTGCTCCGAGAATTATTATCAGCAAAGCAACAACTACAACTGCAACAAGTAGAAACATATGGATGTGTGTGTGTCTAAATAACTATATATGTTTATGGCTGAGTCGTTTGCTAAATTTACTACTGGCCCGGTTGCAAGCTGCGCCAACTGCAAATATGGCCCAATTTTTTGTTGTTGTTCAATTAGTCGGAAAAAGCAGCCGCTACCCATATGGAATTTTTCACTCACACCCAATTGCTGTAACGGTAACGGTGCAAGTGCTCAGCACTCTCTCGCTCCCTTGTGAGAGCGCACAAACAGTCATTCATTGTTGTTTTTTTATTCATTCTCTTTTATTTTTTGTTATTTTTTCGTTCGCCGCCTTTGTTTTGTTATTCATAAATGCAATTTTGCTTTTGCTATTTTTGATAGGCAGGTCGCTGCTGCAACGGGCAAGTGATAATTATAGAAAGTTCTTTATGCTTTTATTTATGTTTATGCAACATGCAATGTTGTTATGTGCGCCTTAATAATGAGAGCATGCGATTTAGAGAGTGCGATGCGTGGGAGCAAGCATCAAGTTCGTTGCTGACGATGCTAATTTCTCTTTTAGGTAGGTAGGTCAAAAAAGTCTGAATTGGTGTCGCATTTAACAATGACTCATTCAATATGCTCAACGCAAATATACTCACTGGAAATTACAAGAAATCTTTGATGTTCGTTAATGATTATCGATTGCTGATGTTTGTCAAGAGTGTTCAAGAGAATCAACCGTAGCAACAATTCCATGAATGAAAACTATCTACATTTATTATTTGCGCCCTCTTCATGAGAGACTGCCAGGCTGTGTGAATTAAAGTGGGTAATAAAATAAAAGGGCCGGGTGGGGCTTTTGTCGGCTCGGCTAGGCTGCTGGCTGCTTGTCTGCCAGCAATGTGTAAATATCAAAAGAAATGACCATACAATGACAGACACAAACACACACACACATATGCAATCACATATATACGAATGCAACATATAGGGGCCAGCACATCAATTATGTTTAATTCTTGTTTGATTCAATCGCAAAAAGGCAAAGCAACGCCGCACACCAACACACATACACTTACACACACATTTACACAGGACAATTAAACGCAATGTTTTTGGCAAAACAAATAACTTGCAATTAAAAAAATAAATAACTAAATACATTTTTCAGCGATTCTTCGGTGGGTTTTAGATATTTATTAATTTCACTTTAATGACAATTAATTGGCATAGAGTGAAAGTATTTATTTAAGAAAAAATTCAACGTGGCTTATTAAGCGCCTAATTGGCGTGACTGAAGAAAACAGAAAGAACAATTCGAAATATATAATGTATTTATATGTGTATACAAACGTACATATGTATGCCTGCCAAGTGACCTAAACCCGATTTTGAATGTGCGGCTGTTTGTATTCGTCTCTTGCCTGATAGATGTGGAGCACAGCTAACCAGCAAACACATTTAAACACATTCACATATGCATAAGGCAAAGAAAACGAAGCGGCACTCTGAATTAAGGTGGGGGCGTAGAGTCAGCCGAGATCTATGCAAAACGGCGATGAACGAAAAGTTCAAGACAAAAGGGCGTCGCTGCTGCTGTCGCACAAAAACAACAAAATGCACTAGACTTTACACAAACACACGGGTAGGCGGAGATTTACATACGTATGTATCTACTTGTACTTGCGCAATTACCGTTCTTTTACTCTTTCAACTTCTTGCAACGTCGACAATTTTACATTTTCACATCAAAATCACACAGCAATATTTCTACCTTCAACTACACACACAGATACACAGTATGTGCATGCACTTTTTGGTGTTGGGACCATCCGCCATTTGCAAGCAAGTGTTGTATACGTGTGTGTGCGTGTGCTTGAATGTGTGTGTAGCGTTGTCGCGTCGCCAATTTTTTTGTTTCATTTTCGACATTTTCAATTACATTATCTTATGGTTTTACATAATGATAACTTTTAAAACCAAGCCAATTTTAATAAGATGCGAAACTTACAATTTTTTAGTTGGAGTTAGCGTTACTGTTGAAATTTAAACATTTAAATTAGCAATTTTCCTCCACTCGTGTTTGTATTATTGCTTTGATTTTGTTCCACTGCAAAGTGTGGCGGTTGGCGTTGCGTGGTCGATACAATGTGGTGGTGTAGCGATAAATTATAAACGCGGCACTAAGCAAAGAATTCTTCAAAAGTGGAAGCAAAGTATCGGTAAATATTAAAGCAGGTCCACGTTTACTACTATTACTACAAAAATACGAATTTTCTAATAGATTACGATGAATAGGTAGAGAATACATTTGCTTAAAGCTACTTCGTTTTTATATCGATATTTCGAATAGTATGTTTCAACTACAACTGGAAGGAACGAAATGAACTTCAATCATATGTTCCATTTGTTTGAACATGCTTTGACACAACTGTTAGCCAACGTAAAAGAAAAACATCTAAATAACACAATCTGGAAAATTCGAAAATCCCGCCGACAGGGGAAACAATGATTGGTAAATTATCAGCTTGGTACCGGGAAAATGTCTCGGAGTCCGTGGAGTGTGTTTCATGTCGACTAATAAGTGGATTCGGCATGATCGGTATTGGAGTGTTTCTTCTCTCACAAGCAAAGCGTCGTCGCTCACCTGTAGAGCATTACGCTATGAAAAGCATCGCTGCAGGTGCGTATAATTCAGTTTTAGAAAAAAAAAGAGTTACATCATGTTTCCAAATAGTCGCTGGATTACTGGGCGTTGCACGTTTGGCTGATGCAGATTTCCTGAAGGCAAAGGCAGAACCCGGAAAGGAGCAGAAAAAAATTACAGGCGAACATCCGTTTTTTAAGCGCTGATATTTAATTATAAACGTATTAGTTAAATTTAATTTGTTCATAACATTTATTCATTTGTATGTAGACACATTTGGCTTCAGCGCCCCACCTTTCCTAGCTTGGTGTCAGTCTTTGGATTGGCAGTTAAGTTCTGAACGGCGACAATAGTTTCGTTGATCTTAGTTTGAAGCTGACGTAAGCTTTGTATTTGCAGCAGGCGCAAAATGCGCATGGGATAATCCAGAGCTGGATCGTTAGCTGAAACAACATCGTTGCCCTTATCAAAGGGAAATGGGGTGCCAGTAACCGCAGTTTTCTGACTGGCTGTTGGACCAACGCGTTCATGCACAATGCGTGCCACAGCCTCCAGTTGAAGCAAATGGTTGGGATGATAGGGCACTTTAAGCTTTGTAGCCAAGAGACGTACGCCATCAATAAATTCCTTGTCATTGACTGTTTAATAGATATTGGTAATTTGTAGCTTGCTTTATATTAACGTACGAAACTCACCATTTATCTTTCCATTGAATAAAGTTTGAGTTTTTTGTTGAGAAAGCGATCCGTTGTTTTTTATCTGGCCAGTGGCTTGACTGTTGATTGATTCGTATTGCGCAGGATCATCGAGAAACTCGAGACGTATTGCATGCCCCACCATCCAGGTGAGCTGCTCCAGTTGGGTTTCATAAGGGGGCATATTCAAATCAATGCAGTATTGCTTATAGCCCTCTTCCCACACCAACATATTGTCTAAATTGCGTAATTTCTCGCGATCATCAATCGTATAAAAACGTATCTTTTGATCTTCTAGCCAAAGTACGGTGCTTGCAAATTCCTTGCGATCTGTGTGCATGAGATGGGGTGAGTTAAGTTTACTCCAATCTTGAATAATTACAATTTGTATACTCACTGCTTAATGCAACATCGCAGGGTGTTGGATGGCCCAGTGCCTCGAGTTTTTGTTTTAACATTATTTTGTTCCTGTAGCTTCTAATAGACAAATTAACAGATTAACAAATAAACATACAATAATCGGACCGGGTGCACTAAATAAAACAAAAGTGACCATAAAATATTCCGTATAACCTCTGGGCACACTGCCGCACAGCTGTCAGTTATCGATAACATTAGGCTGCAATTAGTTTAAACTGTTTTGATTGTATTTAAAATTGAATATATATGATGGCCAGCGATACAAACGAATCACAGTTGGCGTTTATATCTGAGCAGGTTCAGATTTGCATGCTGCCTAGCCTCAACGCAGATCTAGATGAAGTCCAAACTCTGCCGGTGCATTTTGAAGCCTACCATTCCATGCTCGAACAAGAGCTGCCCAAATTATACGATTTATTACAGAGAAACGAAGATGTTTTATTAAATAATATCGCATACCCGGAGGTATTTATCTTACGAAAAAACTGTAATCTATGTTAAACAACCATTTATTATTTTAGATTCGAGCGCAGCTCGTTTTGCTGCTATGTGAACTGACTGCGTCGCCTACGATTTACACCCTGAACGGCGAGTGCGAGCAATTGCTGCAAAATGCTAATGAATTGCTAAGGAAACTTTCTCCCTTTTGGCGAAACGCTGAGGAAAATCTAATTTTCAAATATTATGAGAAAAAGTTGCATAAGGATTGCTGGAAGCGACAGCTGGGCGCGGTGCATGGCTATGTTAGATACTTGGAGGTTAACTAACGCTACACCAATTTAAATATAATTACTGTTAAAAAACTTCCATTACAGCATCGACACATAAACAATATTCAAATGCCAACACAATTGCTCACTTTCAGCTTAGCTGTGGGGCTCAATGTGCGCGAGAGCTTTCAGTCGGAATACAAACAACTTGGCGTGCGCATCCTTACGCTTATATTGAAGGATGGAGTAAGAATATTTTCAAACTAATAATACAGCTATTATTCAAGCAACTGATTTATGTATATAGCTTTCCACTGATATTCAGCAATTAAATGTGCAAGGTGTTATTTACGAGAATGTGTTCAGAGATGTCCAGAGTATGGAATCAATTGGCGCAACGATTTGCAATTGGGATTGCCTTTGCCTGTGCTTGGATCATTTCATTGAGCTGGATTCCTTTCCGGTAGACAAATATCATATTATAGATACATATTATATCAGTTGAACTAATGCTAACCCTTTGCGTTTTAGTGGAATCAATGTGATGACATGCTCGAACGACTTATCCAAAATGTTTCGCTGGCCTCAAGCACAGAAATGTCAATTTCTCTAATGCATTTCATAACAAAACTGGGCTACTACTTTGCTATCAATAAGAATGAAATTCAGGCAGTATTAACCGCTGATTTAACTGAGCCAAATCGAATGACTGACTGCTTGGAGGTCTGTGCCTCGTTAAATGTCTGCACCAACTATCGATGGGCCAAGAGCATACTCCAAATGCTTGTGCTGGCGTCTGAAAAGCTATTGGGTAGTGTGGATGCTGCTGCACAGGTGCTGGTCGAGATGCAGCGGTGTTATCTAGTCTGCGTGCTGCCGATTCCTCTCCAGGCCTTGCACATTCATTTGCGAGAATTTTATGCCAAGTTTGTTGCTGTGCTAATGGAATGCATAAGTGTCCATAAAGACAGTAAACTACTCCAAAAGGTTAGTTTTACTATTTTCAGATTTGGGAATTGTTTTATGTTTTAATGTTTTTTTTTATAGCTAACGGATCAGTTTGTACAGATATTCATTTATCAGCTAAAACACGGCTCAACGGGTAAGGAAGGTCCTTGTAATCTAAAAAACTATCTGACTGCGCTGGAGAACTTAATTCCTGTTATTGCCAAATAAAGTTGAGCTCACAATGATTTAATTTTGATTTTAATGTGATTGAGCGTTTATCTGTTTTCTAATCTCTTCGAATTTGAATTGAAATGATTACGAAGAGATTTTGACAAATATTTGTTTCAAAAGTTACCGCGAATTTCGCTATAGTGTGACCGTGCAAGCAAAATAATAATTTAAGAACTAGTTCCAACTGAACTCAAAGTAGCGACACTTTTCAGCACTGTTGAACAGCTGTCTGCATTGCAGTTATTGTTGATGCTTCCACGTGCTAGCGGTGGCAGTACAGCTATTTTTGTAGCCCACAAATTTATTAATTAATTTAATTGATGGCGCTTTTGTCTAAGAAAAGGGCGCAACCTGCCGAAGACATTGATTCGCCTTCCGCCTCGGAAAATGATGAAGATGAAGGCCAAATCGATGAATGTGACAATGAGGGCAATCCCGCTTGGGCAAGAACGATTGCCAAGCTGTTGCAGCAAAACCCACCTGAGAAGCAGAAGAAGACAGTTCTCTCCCGAGCCAAGAAACTGAAGCCCAACGATGCTCAAAGTAGTAGTAGTAAAGGAAAACAAGGCTATGACTTTGAGATCGATGGAACAGAAGTGGAACCTAAAAAGGAAAAGGATATCAAAGAAGAGAAGTCCTCCGCGCTGGATTCTGAACTAAAGCGTCAACAGCGCAAAAATGTGCCTCTACAGCTGCGTGTAAAGCCCGATAAACAGGATCTCGAGCGAGAGCGCAATCTCCGCAAGGTGGCTACACGGGGCACGGTTCAGTTCTTCAATGCGGTGCGTATCCAGCAGAAGGATTTGCAACAGCAGTTAGCTGAGGCTGGACCGCTTGACAGTCGAAAGGATGCAGTGCTCAACAACATAGACAAGGGCAAGTTTCTGGACGTGCTGATGAGCGGTAAGCGCTCCAAGTCCACTGCCATAGACAACGCGGTGAAGAAAGAGGAGCCGGAGTCGACAACTGATGAGGATGACGACGAAGACGAGGACAAGCCCACACAAGGAGTTGGCAATAAAAAGAAATCCGAATGGAATGTGCTGCGCGAGGACTTCATGACCAACAAGAAAATCAAGCACTGGGATGAAGAAGACGACGAAGGGGAAGAAGAGGAAAACAGCTCAGAAGATAGCGAAGATGAATAAATAGTATATAAGATTTAGTGTTTAATAAAAATTAATCAATTAACCATTTCCGCATTGGATGTCATGTAAATGCCAACAATTAGGCCAAACAATCCAATTGCTGATCCAAAGATCTCCACAATCAATATTTTGACAAACAAGGCCGAGTTGGCAGCATCCGCTAGAGCTGCTCCAGAGCCCACAATTCCAACGCAAATGCCGCAGCTGAGATTCACCAAGCCAACCGAGAGGCCGGCGCCGAAGGTGGCGAATCCTGTGAACATGTTTCGCGTCATAAATTTACGATTGTTGAGCACATTGTGAATCACATAGGTTTGCAGATTGCCCGAGAATACAATCGAGCTGATTAGACCGTAAATGGCGACAGCTTCACAAAATATCACAGAGATGAGATTCTTCGTTTTGATGCGAGGCGCCCGCACGCCTCCTCCGACTATGCTGACGCCTGTCATATATATGCCAGTGGCAGCGCCCAAAACAGACAGCGAGACGCAGAGTCCGACGCCCAAGCCAGCCCACATGTGCGGACTACTTGTGTAAAGGAACCAGCCTAAGCCTGAACGTTCTCCCATGCCGGTCATCACACCTTCCAGAATTAAGCCCACGCACGCAAAAGAGCATATGCCAAAGAATATGAGAATCACTGTGCGTATGCCCATTTTCTTGGCGCTTTGTTCTATTCAATATTTTATACAAATTCTGCAAAAACTAAAATTAGCCGACGAAAGTAAATGTCTCTAATTTGTCTGAGACGAATTTCTAAAATTGTAAGGACTCAAGTCAATTGTAGTAAAGACTGTGACGTTACAATTTCAATTTCAATATTTTCAAGTAACAAATAACGGTAAATAATGATTACATTAGTCAATATCAAGTGGTGCGCATTCACTATTTGAACAAAGAACTGGCTCAAATTCTTACAAATTTACCTCAAGTACTACCTATTCATTCACAAATAACGGTTTATTCAAATAAAGATCACGCATTTGGTTTTTATTTTTATTTATATAAGTTGAAATACTTTATTTATGGTATATTGATTATGGTTATTTTAAAAAGTGTTTTGACACTAAATATCTATTTATCGATTCGATTTGACATGCAATATTTTGTATTTTTTGTGATATTTATTTATTTTTAAATTCGTTTTGGTTATTTTTTTGGTATGTTGTTTGTATTTAACGATTTGATTTGGCCACGCGCTCGAGCTCATCTTTCTTCTTGATGGCATATGAGTTGGATGAGCCCTTGGCTGCATTGATCATCTCATCGGCCAAGCACTCGGCGATGGTTTTGATGTTGCGAAAAGCAGCCTCACGTGCTCCTGTGCAGATCAACCAAATGGCCTGGAGTATGACATAAGAGCGTTAGTAATTGACATTGTTAAGTTCTCAGCACTTGCCTGATTAACGCGACGCAACGGCGACACGTCTACAGCCTGTCGACGCACAGTTCCTGCGCGTCCGATGCGTGTGGAGTCCTCGCGTGGCCCAGCGTTGACAATGGCATTTACTGTGACCTGCAAAGGATTCTCCGAGGTCAGCAAATAAATAATCTCGAATGCATGCTTGACGATGCGACAGGCGAGCAGCTTTTTGCCATTGCTGCGTCCCTTCATCATTAAGCCGCAAGTCAGACGTTCCACAATGGGGCATTGGGCCTTGCGGAAACGTTTGGCTGCATAGCGTCCGGCCGAGTGCGGCAAGTAGCGAGCGAACTTCTCCTTGACAGCGATATAGTCCTGCAGTGAAATGTCACTGATGGTAATTTCATCGCAGCTCCAGCGACCAAATATCTTGATTTCGGGCCACTCATTGGTGGCTGCTTGCTCGAACGTATTCGGATCGTTCTCCTCCCAGATGGCATCTTCTGCTGGCTGCTGAGCCTGAGTTGGGTCGTGCAGCTGCTGTGACTCAGAATTATCATAGCCTGGCTCGAATGTGCACTCTCCGTAATCTGACATATTTGTTGCAGTTCTAAAGGGGGCGAAATATTTTCATTTAGATTTCAATAGTTTGTTTTGCTTGTTATTTTACAAAGAAACTTACATCGCTTCCCGTAGGAATTCAGAAAAATTCGACAGCTCTTATTGAAAGCAGGACACAAAATAGTTTGATCAAGCTGCCAGCGTGAAAGTGCTTAATCACTTGACGTGTGGCCAAGCTCAGACAAACTGAATTATAGGCATTCCTGAAATCTGACAGTCGAGCTAATAGTTAGCTCAATTGAACTATAGGTATTCTTGCAGTTGATGTGAACAGTCGAGTATTTACAATCGGAGCAAAGCGGCAATGGTTAAAATGACGAAACGTGATACAACCTTAACAATGTTAGTATCCTTGATCAGCGAAAGTGAATGAATCAACGCTAGAAAATGATTTCGATAGGATTCGATGCAGATACTGCGTTTTATATCAAACTATCGGCCAGATTTGAAATATCGGTAAGTCAAAGAGTTATAACAAATGGATTTTAATGGAAATACAGGGTTTTCGCAATCAGGTTAACATTTGGAGAATTATGTAAAAAGTCGTGATTATAGATATGTTGCCTGTGCAATCGATTAAAGTGGGATCACTCAAGATGTTGGGGATTGTTTAACAAAACTCATGTATTTAATAGCTTTTAATATGGAATACTTTCTATAGTAATAATAATAATATTGTTGGTGTACTTTCTAGTACTTCTGCATTAACAGTAGCATAAGATATACAGTTTTATGTTTATTATTTGTAGTTGTAGTTAATATAATACATTTTTTTAGAAATACAAGTGCCAAAAATGAACAAATAATATAAACAACTACATTTAGCTATATCATAAAAACACACACACTTGTTTTTTTTCGCACACTTATAAAATAACTGATAACAATAAAAAATAATCAATGTAATTTTTACACAGCGCACATTAACGTTTGATGCTGAAAATTAACGAAACGCGCGCAGCGTAAAAATTTTAAATTTTTAACTTTTTAACTTAATAAGTAACTAAAGTCCCATGTTGTCGTAAGCGTTGCAGAAAGGGCGAGGGTTTACTTCTGTAACAGTAACTGCGTATATCGAGTTTGTAATTTCCAAAAGATGGAACACCGTTGTTGTTGTGTTATTTTTTTTGTCGGAATGGCTTGATGACTGATTGTTGTTCTTGTTTTGTAGTATCTATGTATTTTTTTTATTTTTTTTGATTGGGCGCGTGACACAAGAACTGTAAAAACTTTTGTTAAGTGCTTGAGGAATGTTGTATATCGATTAAAATTAATTAATACTCACGTCCACTTAATCCTTATCACCCATCTTAGCTTTGGATGTCATATATATGCCCACAATCAAACCAAAGAGACCAATGGCTGAGCCGAAAATCTCCACGATCAGAATCTTGACAAAGAGTGCAGCATTAGCAGCATCCGAAAGCGCTGCTCCGGACCCAACAATACCGACCGCGATACCGCAGAACAAGTTCACAAAGCCAACGGCCAAGCCTGCACCGAAAATCAAATAGCCCGAGAACCAGTTCGTGCTCATCACGGTCTCGCTGGCGAGCGCAGATTCCATTTTGAACTGCTCCAGCTGGCCAGAGAGCACGATGGCAGTAATTAGGCCGTAAATGGCGACAGCCTCACAAAAAATAACCGAAATCAAATTCTTGGTCTTAATGCGTGGCGCCTTTACGCCACCGCCCACAATGCTGGTGCCCGTGGTATGAATGCCAAGGGCAGCGCCAACGACAGACAGGGAAACAGATAATCCGATGCCCAGACAGGCCCACATATACGGACTAGATGTGGTCAGGAACCAACCTACGCTTACGCGTTCGCCCTTGCCAGTCATAACAAAGTAGAGTATTAGAATGGTGGCCGCGGCGAGGAAGAGCCATAGAAATGTTTGGGTTACGACTGTGCGTATTTGGGGCGCCATCTTGCACGATTTTTGTCTGTCTATTGTTCAAAACACAGTATAAACTTAGATTTTGTATGAAATTGAATTGCTATTTACCAAATTGCAGGCGTAATTGTATTTTTCTCGGCCGACAGGTGACTGCTTCGTGCGAAAAAAAGAATCCACAATCACATGACGTACATTTTCTCTATCATAAGGTATCGAGTAAGTCACGCCAATCGATACATATTCGATATCTAAAATGTCAAATACTTCGACTTAAATTATTCGTTTGAGGCATGCAACACACAGCCTGATTGCTATGTAACTCAGTAATTACCTGCCCTTACCAAAGCTAATAACAGATGGCGCCAGTGTGTAACGCGCCTAAATTCAAATTCCACTTGCTGTAAAACACTAAGAATTGTATGTTTATGAGAAACTTTCATTGAAATATATGCAAATGACATATATATATTCATTTCACCTTTATTATCTGCGTCTGCAGCTCAGTGATGCGCACTTACAAATAAGTTATGTTTTATTTTGCTTTGTGCACGCGAAAAATACGCAGAACAGCCAGTGAAATTTACAGTTCATTGAATTGGCCAAGCTACCGGCGCTCAGGAGGAGGGCAGACGTTTAACAGCGGCCACGTGATGGCAACATAATCTAAAGCCACATCACCATTAAATATTTACACTACATTATAATTTTTGTTCTTAGGCGCGTGCCCAGCAAACACAAAAGCTCAGCCCGAGCAAGCGGGCATCATGTGCGCCATGTTGCTGCTGTAGTTGTTGTTCTTGTTGTTGTAGTCGTGTGCCGACGACAAGCGACAACCGCAACATTCAATTAAACGTAATGTGTTGTTTGTTGTCCCTCCAAAATGGGGCCGCCTACTCTAGACATCTTGATAATAAATGTAAACTTTTTCACTTGTAAAATCCAGCACAGCATAAAGAGTGAAATAAAATAAAAGTCGTCTTAAAGCCAAAAAAAATATATATATATATAGGAGTATAAGGGTATGGTGGTCATCGCCGTGTGTCTCAAGTCAAATATCACAAGAAAAATCCATTAACCTGCGCTTTTTTTCCTCTTGACTTATTTTTGTGTTCGCTTTATCTCTGACGCCCGAATTTAAGCAAATGGGAAATGGCAAATGCGATGAGAGCCGAAGCGGCGTATGCGATTTCTTTTAAAGTTTAAAGTTCCTAAAATTGAAATTAGCTAACAGTATTATAAAATGTTGCAGGTTTTTGAGCTCTTTTGTCGACCGTCGTCACTCGCAGTGGCGCAGAGTTGCAGGTGCTGCTGGAGCTAGCGAGCAGAAGAAGACGCCTTGGCTCAGATAGTCAAATTCCAGGAAAGGATTAGAATCAATACTGTCTTAGCTTATAATTTTATATATATTTCTTTATATATATTAAACAACATAATTAATTATTTCAAGATTTTTTATCATTTCTATTTGTTTTTACATTTTTTATTTTTAATTTATTTTAGATTTAGGTAAAATAAATATTTTATTATTTTTATATTTTAATTTTAATTTCTTTAATTGAATATTATATTTTATATATTTTATGTAATTTATATATTTTATATATTTTATATATTTATCACGACATATATTAAATCATATTAATTGTGCTTCTTCTTAACTTTCTTGGGCTTTTGCAGCTGTTCAATATTCTCGATTGTGTCCACAAATACCTCAAGTATTTCCTCAAGACGCGTGCAACGTTCGGACTCCCTGAACTCAAATGGAAAATGGATTATCTATATCATCAGATTGTAAGCAGAACTCACAGTGCCAGTTGCTCGCGCAGTTTAATAAGTGGCTCCACCTGATAAATGTACTTTGGCTTCCCATTCACGTCTTTGTCAGGCAAATTGTCCTGTTCTTGTCGCATCTCAACTGTGTGTATCTCCTCGGAGCTGAGCTTGCGCCAGAAGCAGAGGTAATACTTGAAGCCCTGCAGTAGCATGCGAATCACTTTATAATCGTTCACGATCAGCTGCCTTTTGACATCTTCTTCGGCGCTCAGGTAAATGGCTTTGAACAAATTCTAAGAGTTGACTCAGTTGGAGCTCTTTGGGCCTCGACACGGCGCACTTACCAGTATTATGCAATAGGTGGCCACGACAAGGACGACAAAGAAGAATGGCGCCAGATCCGGATGGGCGTCCTCCAGAGATGTATAGGATATGTCGGTCATGAGAAAGCGGATTTGGGCAATGATCGAGGCGAACTCCGTGGTATATTCCTGATGCACCTGGCTAAATGCAATGCAGCCCAATTGGGCAAATGCACCCGTTATGATCAAGCAGAGCAAACATAGGCTGACTATACTCTTAAAGGACTGCAAAGTGGAGGCTTGTTCAATGGAAATCGCCTGAGATCATGGGAATACTGCGCTTACCACGCGCACAGCAGACAACACCTGTTGAATTGACCTGTGGAAGGAGACGAACCGCATGGGCTTTAGCCAGGCCATAAAGTTCATGACTCCCAGCACTTGTATATATGTTTTCCAGCCCAGAAGCAAATCATCCATATTGATATATCTAAAGCGATTTGCCAGGAATGCCTTTTGGATGCTTCTAATCTGAAAGATGTGCCAAACGTTGTAGGCAAACACGGCGTATGCTGACTGAGTGTATGAAAAACGATCAGAAATCAAAGTCGAATCGAAGTGGAATTAACGCACAGTCAGGAAAAAGAAGTCAATATAGTTATATACATTTCCGGCATAGGCCTTCGGACCAATCCAAATAATTTCGGTAATTTCCACATAAGTATAGTATATAGCAATCAAGCAGAAGACGCCGCCCGCGCACATGGATAAGACGTCCAGAGTTAGGAAGGTGTTTTGGGGTATCCACTGTATGTGCACTGAGGGCACCACAATCCCCGTCGGCATTATTTCGAACACTAATCTGAATTTCGTCCGACGACATAAAGAGCGAATGAAATTGCTTTGTGGATCATGAAACTTACTTAATGAGATGAAAAAAATCGATGCCATCGAAGTAGACATTCATTTCTATAACAACTAGACGTGTAGCCGAATCGATCCAGTCGGCGTTCATTAGATTGTTCAAGGTGTTCATATTCTCGATGAAGTCGTGGCCCAGGTTGACTGAGAATCCTCCGCCTTCATAGGTGTAAAAGGTTTTTGGAATTTGTATTGCATCTGCCACGTACTTCACGCTAGAGGAGTAGAGATTAGAAAATATATATAGAATAGAATAATAATAGAGAATCGAGAATAGTATAGATAGTAATTGTTAGACACACTTGTTGTAGGCATTGAAATAGAGGAATGAAAATGGAAATGGAATTGATGGCGAGAGAGAAGAAAGTTGGGAAACGAGCGATTGAGTAGAAGACGGGGGCAGAAAAGAGACAGGGAGGTAGAAAACAGGAGGATAAATCGGAGCGAGAGAAGGGAAGAGAAGCTAAGAGAGCGCAAGGGAGGGTACGAGAGGAAGAGAAAGGTATGAAAAGGGAGGTTGTAGAAGAGATGTAGGAGAAGGGAGGGAGTGAAGCAGGAGACGAGAGATGGAGTCTTGAAGCGAGAGAATTTAGTAGAGGGCTAAAGTGGGTAAGAGAGAGATATATAAAGGAGAATGAAAGAGGAGAACATAGGTAGGAGAAGTGATCTGGAGAGAGGTTTATATGGATAGAGAGATGGAGTGAGATGGACGAAAGGAAGAGATAGGTAGGTAGGTGGCGAAAGGAGAGGGCTGAGTAGACAGTGAAGAGAGGGCAGACTAGGGAATGAAGGGAAGAAAACAGGAGAAAAGGAAAGAGAGGGAGAACATGTGAGAAAATGCAGAGATAATTTGTAGAACAGGAGAGAAAGGGGAAGATCGGGGAAAAATATGGAGAGTATATATAGTAAGATTAGGTAAGATTAGTTAAGTAGAGAATGGGGAAAAAGATGGAAAGAGTGAGAGGATTGAGTAGAGAACGGGGAAAAACGAAAGAAATAGTTAAGAAAGTTTAAAACTTGTTAACAGCTAGAGAAGGCGAATATTGTTGGATTATCTCAGAAGTCTTTGAGGCATATAGCCTGATTTTTAATGGCCAAAATGCTGTTAGAGTTAACTTACTCTTTATAAGTTCCTTTGAATGAATTTCTTGATGAATAAACTGGATAACATTTTTTCATTTTGATACTGTCAAGGTCGATTTTATGCGTACATTGTTTGTCCCTGACGCGTATCTGTCGTATTCTAGGCAGACCCACTACTAAGCCCATGTTGAAGAGGTATGGAAATCTTGGGCTTTCGCCCTCCTCGCTCAAGTCATCGCTGTGTAAAATATACAGAAAATTGTATTTGCAGTAATCCCATATATCATCGATCTTCTGCACGTTATGGAACATGGGACCAACATATTCATACTTTCCCATATAGTTGTTTTCTTCGACGAACACATGCTCTGTTTGGATGTAACTGAAATAGGCGTACTTCGGCACTACAGTATCTGTGACTGTAGACACGGAGAGAGAGAGAGAGAGACAGAAAGGGAGTATAGGTGAAGCAAAATATAGCTCCCAATATGCTCACTTATGTGCGTGCAACAAAGTAAGATTAAGAGTATGAGAAACTTAGTTATAAAATTTCGAATTATCTTTTCGCTAATAATGTAGTACGATGGCTTCCTTGTTCTTCGGTCGGACATGTTTTCAGAGACTTATTTTCGACTATTTTTCTAGATTCAATTTCATATTTCGACTCGAAATGCTTCGATATATTTATAATATTTGTAAAGTTGTTGATGCCTAACTTGGTGATCCTTTAATTGATTCTGAAACTGTGTAAAAACGTCTTAGTCTTCAACATGCTTTGAGTCTTAGCATGATTAGGTAAGTTGCCTCAACACTAGGAAGACTATATGTATATATTTTGAGATAAGTCTATAGAGTGAAGTGTATTCCACTTCTCCTATTTTGAAGGTCTACATCTCTCTCTCTATTTATCTCCCTCTCCCTTTCTCCTGTTCAAATATATATGTTATTGCCCCCGGCACCCATAAATTGATCTCATATTTAAATCACTCTTTAAGACCGCTGCACATAGTTCAAAAGTCCAGCTCTCCCAGGACATACAGCAGCAATCGACTCATCTCAAAGTGCATCGATTGATGGGCTCTGTGAGTAGCTGCTCCTAGGGGCTGGTGCATGGCAGTCGTATGGCCATTTATTAAACTGCGGCTGGCAAGTTTAAGGGCGTCGCCTTTAAGTATGCAACACTTTGTTAGCACTTGACTGCGTTGGCAGAGGGATCTGCAGCATATGCATAGGCGCTGCCATTGTTAGCTGCCTGCCAAGCAGCTACTCGGGACGGACAACAAAAGCAAAAAAAGCAACAAGAACAACTACTTGCGCCTCCCACAGACCGGAAGTAGCCCGGGCATATAAAAGCTCTTCCGCTCCTTTCCGGTGAAATGTTGCATTTGAAGCAGTGCTGCCTCAGACACAAACACTACAAAGCACAGCAGCAGCAACAAGAAAGTACATCAAAATAAACAACATAAATGGCATGTGCAATCAATCGTCGACATATGCGAATATGATATATACCCTGCAATGCGGATGTATGGAGAAGTTTGATGTTCTTGGCGCCATACAAGATAGTTTTTATTATTATAGACATTTTACATTATATACTTGGAATTATATATTAACGGGACAGTTGCTTTAAAACTTACACTTAATATTTAATGTATATATTATATAATATATATATTTAAGATATACATTTCAATTGGTCTACATAAACTTCATTCTCACTCACAGTTTCAATGAAAATATAAGATGTTTTGTATATTTATTCCAAACTCTTATCACATAAGACAATAAAAAACTTTTTATTGAACTCTGTTCCACACTTTAATAAAAAATTTTTTGTTAAGTACTTTCAGATCCCACAACTGTTATTTAGTTAACTTTTTCTTGAAGTTGTAGCACTTCGAATTGACCCGCAGAACTTTTTCTAGCTGTGGTCTAGAATATCTTTACGCGCACGAGTTGGACACATACTAGTTTCTGAATCAGATGCTGATTTAGAATTTTAACAAGGTAATTTTTGTTTACCAAAAAGTCATCAAATTTAATTTGTTTTGAATATTGTAATCATAAATAAACTAAATAAAAACAATATAGTGTATATAAATAAACAATTTTCTACTAGAACATTTCAAGCTCTTCAGAGTCAGCCAGATAAGGATCGAGCTGGCTTTGCTGTGATTTCTACTTCATATGCTTGAAAATGTTATTAACTATTTATTTATATTTATTTGATATATTTTAATATTTATTCATATATGAAATGAAAAATGTCTATCTCAACGTGAAGTGTGTTGGCCTAGCCGGAGCACCCCGACCAAAGTGTCGTATCAACGGCAATAAGTCTGGGCCAGGTGACCGCATTTAAAGCAAACATTTTGCCAGGTTCTTTTGGGCCGGCCACAGTCCAGTAAATACAGCTGCTACGGCAGGGGGTTGCTGGGCGTGGCGGATGTTCGAGTAGCATCAGCCATGGCACAAAAGGCTGTTGAGAATTTATTTCCTGTTACGTTAGACATTTAGGCCGCTTTGGCGAACGGGCAGCAAATCGAAAAGGGGCAACAGATCAAATGGCCACTTGCTGGCCAGATCCTTGGGCTTATCACGAGGCGGCGCAGACCACCGGAGGTTAAGTACGTCAAAAACCTGGATAACTGAATTCAGCTGTGAGCGTGTGTGCATGGGGAAGTCGAAGCCTTGGCTTAAATAAACCAAACAAAATGAATTGGTTTCTGGCATTTGCTCATTGCTTTAACTGCCCATCGAGCAGTTTGAATTGATTTTATTTGCGCTAAGAGGCCATCTGGCATATTAATGTTAATTCATGTAGTGCCCTGCGCTACGCGTAAGTTATGCAAATGAAATTGCCATTTAAATAAAATTTAACTGGCGTTGATTTTCCTTCTGTTTTATTTTTTATGCCCTCTTTCCACACGTGGCCGCAGCCACCGAGCAAATGGAGTTCAATTTGAGTTTCTTTGCATTGTGTGTGCATTACACATCGCACATACACACTCAGTACACATTATGCATGTGTGTAAACAATATGCTCGAGCTTTAAATTCATTACCAACAACACGCCTGATGTGAATTCCCATTTGCTGAGTAACTTTAATGTCCTGAGCAGACCTAGGGATAGTTCTTGGCCAGGTTATATGGACTAGACTAGCTGGCTTCATATTTATATTTATTTATATATATATATATATATATATATAATATACACGACTAATATATCAACTACTTAGATTAAAGATATATTTAACATTATATGTTGAGCTGAGCTAATCAAAAAGAGTTTGGCAAATGAAGAATTTTTTCTTTGCCTAACAAAATTTTCAATTTAAATAAATAAAATATATATATTGATAATTCTCTTATTTTTTCTTAAATTGTATAGTTTATCAAATATTAAAAATATAAAACATTAAATGATTGTTATTATTATTGTTAATTATTATTATTATTTGAAACAAACGTAGTTTAACTTATTTTCAATGAATTCTAGTTCGATTAATTGATATATTGCACTTATGAAACTTTATTAAAATTACGTTTTAATTTAGAATGTAACATTTTTCTGATGGCATATCAAATCTATAAAAGTGAGGCAAAGCTGGCCTTGTAGTTGGCGCTCTAAGGCAAGACATTTAAGGCATATTCCTGATAAATAAATTTAAAATTTGTTAAGAATTTTATTTTATTAATAATACAACGACATTGAGAAATACTTTTATTATATTAACATTTTTTTAAATATTTATATTTTGACTTTCATTTAGCTTTTCATGATGTGATGTTGAGACCTACATTATAAGGTAAATAGTGTTAATTTTTGTAAGCTGTTCAATCAACTTAGCTTGTCTAATATAAGGTTTCATAAATATCACATATATCATATCAAGCATCACATATCATATAAATTCGTATATATACACACTATTATTAATAAAAATTGAGTACAACATGTAAATAAATCCTCGACAATAAAAGCAAAATTTGTAATTTGAGTATAATTTCTGTGATAATTCAGATCGCATAAGGCCTGAATAATTGCCAACACTCGCGCTCATATTTTCCACAATACAATTGCGAAACACACAGAAATATTAAAAACAAAATACAAAACATATTTGTACATATTTATGCCCCGACTCACTTTACTCTTCATTTATTTCATTATCAAATGGGCGGGGGCGGCTCTGCTGCAAAAACAATGCCCGCTGGCAAGTTGGCCAAGAGTGACAAATTGTTTCAATTTAACAAAGGCAACGGTAGCTGAATAACAGCAACAATAGCAATAGCAACAACAATAGAAGTTGGCAAAAAGCTATGGCGTGTGGGCGTGGGTGTTTTGGCCGAAATGGAAATGCGCCTTACAATCCTTTCGGTGTTTGCTCTGCACAATGCTTTTGCTGTCTCTCTCTCTTCCTCGCCCCCCCTCTCTCGCTCGCTCGCTCTGCTTTTTTATTTTTGTTTCTGTTTTGTTATTACGCTTTGCTGCTGTTTCATTAGCCGGCGTGTCCTTTTTATCTTTTGTACATGACATTTCGGCCTTTCTCATAAGTCCTGGCACAACAAAAGGTAGTCAAGAATGATGACGGCAATTTGCGGCTGATCCTGACAGCAACTCCAGCGCCGTCTACGTAATTATCTTAATTTTTCGGCAAACAGCCGGCACATTAAACACCCAACGGCCCTTGGGGCATGTTCATCTTCAAATGCAGTTTTAGGCACGCGCCGGCTGCTAACGATGGCAACGCTAGTCGAAATGGAAATATTTGAAAAATAGCAGCGACTGCTGAGGCTGCTGCACCTTGATCTGCTAATGCCGTTGGCTCCTGCTGCTGCTGCTGCTGCTGCCAACTGCCAACTGCATGGGGCATTTGGTAAATAATCTTGGCCAGTTGCAGTTACCAACGGCGCAAGTGAATAGTCAACTGTCATGTCGTATGCAAATTTAACAGTTCTGATAAAAATTGACTCAACGTGGGTGTGTGCGAGTGTGTGAGTGTGCAATAGAACTGCTGCAGCAGCAAAGCAAATATTTCAGCGAAAGTAAACTATTAGCTACAGGTCGACCTAGCAGCAGAAAAACGGAGTTACCTCGCTGTGTGTGCGTCAGGTGCAGTTAGTTCGCGCTACATATAGTACACATTTAGCTACCCATGTGTGTTGCATGCCACCGTCCCCGGCGAATCCTTGCGGTTGACAGGTTCGCAGCGCGCTTGAGTTGATTTTGAGATTTCGCTTGCGCTAGCCGAAAGTAGTTTGGGTAAGTAAAATGCAAATAATAAAATATTGTTAGCTGAGCGAAGCAAGTGGAAAAGGAAGAAAGGCGGAGAATGGTTCAGAGGGGAAGAAAAGGTAAGGGAAAGAGAGGATGAGAAAGGCGAAGGGAGAGAAATGTGTGAGAGGAAGTGAGGGAGAGTGATGCGGACAGAGAAAGAGGGAGAGAGAGGAATAGAGAGAGACGGAGAGAGAGAGAGACAGAGCGAGGGAGACAAAGAGCGAGAGAGAGAGACAGGGCGATAGATTGATAGAAAGGGAGAGAGACAGAGGGGCAGGGGAGTCAAAAAGAGTTATAAAGAGGGAGAGGGAGAGAGAGACAGAGACACAGACACAGAAAGAGAATTAAGACTGAGGGAAAGAGAGAGAGAGAGAGAGAACAA